TTTTTTTCGCTTAAATTGTTTTCAAGCAGCCTACGTTGGCAGCGTGGAAATATCCCCAGGTGGTCCGACAGAATACTTTTCGCTTTTGACACAGGTCTCAACATCAGCAAACCTTACCACACTTGTCTAGGTTGCACATACCATATTTTGCTTGGGAATTAATCATCCTTATCACGTGATTTTGGCATTCGTTCATAGCTACAGGTGAAAAAAGCGTCGTTGAATGCGGCTACAAGCCATCAAGCACGAAAGTGAACCTATTATTTGCACAGATTGTTCAGAAAGTGAATTTCCTCAAGCGTTCTGCTGAGCTGTCCAGGACACCCGTTCGGCTGTAGCACCCTTTCTGAGCCTAACTACCACACCACCCGAAGGTTGCACGAGGGCTGGGATACTGCCAGGTTGCCAAGCCTAGGCAGGAGAAGTCGAGAGGCAGAGGGCGGGTTCGAACCACAGACCTTCCGATCAGTAAATTCGCGCTTTAACCACTTCGGCTATCTCGCAACCAGGACACTCTAAGAAGGTACATCCGAATCAACCTTCCAACAGACGCAAGAACGGCGCTGTAAACTGCTTGACCGGAAGTACTGGTAGCATGTTTTGTTAGTAGTATACGCCATCAGACCGATTTGCGTGGCGGGAAAAAAGACTTTCTTAGACTCTTTGGATTTTGGCCTTTTTTGGATGTGATTCTAAGGTAATTAGTACCTGGAAAAAGAGTAGAATTTGAGTGCTGTCCATTGTTGGATTTATATATGGGTATTTATATATGGGTAAAAACTAGGCATATCAACCAACGGGCAAATATTTTTTCAAGTTGGACGGAGATATTCAGCCTAAAAAGCTCCAAAATTGAATGCGGAATAAAATACCGGATTTTTATGGAGGTTTTCCCATACGTATAGAGCGTAACACTGACTAGGTTCTGCATGCTCAGAGTTGTTCACTGACATACATCGCTCTTTTAATCGAACGAACGATAAACAAGCACGTTGTGAATAGCCTTGTGAGTAGCCAAAGCTATCGTCAGCATCACCATCATTGTGAGCTGTAACAACCGCGTACTCGTCGTACAGTGGTTGTAGCTGCCGCAGTTTCGTTCACCGGTGATTGGGGGGTGGGTAGCTGGGCATTGCAGGCGGGAGATGATAACTTGGTGCATAAATCTAGCACTGTGAGTGAGCTGTCAAGTGGTGAATTGAAAAAGGAGCTATGCATTGAAGGCAATGGCTTGGATGCACGAGCGCCGTAGAGGGCACGACTGAGCCATGTCTGACAATGTCTCTAACCATTGATGTGGACCGTCTCGGGGTCCCCATCCAGGAAGACGGCAGTGACCAGCGCAGCTGAGTTTGCTGGTAATGACTTTCGTACTTCGCTGCCAAGTCATTGTTTGGCCGCCTCTGGCGCTATCGTGGCACATCGGGCTTCATGCTGACTACCTTGTTACTGAATGACACAGGCTCACAGTTACACCCAACAGAAAATGGTCCATAGCCATCAGACACGATGATCATGGTGACAACATGAACGAGAATCGCATTGTACCACAGATGTTGCGCGAATTCCACTTGACACTACATCGGCGATACTAAAAACTAACCCTTTGACAGTTTAAAACATACAACAAACTGATATAGTGTTCCCATTTTAACTTTCCATTGAACTGTCGAGGAAAATTAATTTCGCACTATACAGACTGGACATGGTACGAAGCAAAATGCCTAACTTTGATTAAACTGTTGTTAGTAGGCTGGTAGTAGGAGTTGACCAAAAAGGCCCCTCGTTAGTCAACCGTGTGCACCCTGTTCGTGTATTAGGCATCACACCGATGGCGATCGACTTCCTCCCATCCAAGTGAGCATTTTCAACGCTCAGACATGTTTTTTTTCACCGAATCGTTGACTATATGGCTAGTTTCTTCCGTTCATTGCAGCAGCGTTCCTCAAACCTAGTTTTCTGAAGTTCCAATATCATGGTTTTTTCTCACGCCAGTAGTCCAGGCATGACGGCTCAAAAACCTAAGCTGCAGCAGGTGTGAGATGAGGCGCAATAAGTGGATAGTCATGACAGACCGCGCTGTCATACTGAACCGTGCGAGTTCACCTGGTTGCAACTCACTTGTCCCACACCAGACTAAAATCATCTGATATTGCAGGGATTAGTCTGAAACTTAACAGCTCAAGCTCAAGTGTGTCCCTTGGCTTGAGAAACTAACCTCACATTGCTACTCATAATTTAGTGACTGAATTGCGTGTGTATTTTGTTATCCGCTGGTCCTGTAACTGAAAATCAAGAACTTTTTACCAAGGTACTTTACCATTTTGTGTAATTGATACGCCGAGTCGTAACTTTTTTTTATAAGGAAGGCTCACCACGGCGCAGTTTCGGACCATTTTCAACATTGTGTTGTACCAGGCACGCTTTTGATACTTTATTGCTAAAATAAATTACAAAAGAGCTTTTATTCGGCAAAAAACAACAGAATAAAATAAGAAAGATCAGCACCTCCCCAGCATGGATGCCAGTTTATGTCCACATCACGCTCCTCGCTGCGTCCTGGCGCAATCGTTCTGGTGAGTCCATATCAAAGGAGAAAAAGCCGTACTCGAGTTTGGACCTCAGTACAGCTCATCAGCAGTGTATATCCTCGGTCACTTGGAGTTTCAACACGGGATATGCGAGTCGAGCGCATTACCACTACTCCACTAGTGTAGTTCGGGCTCATTTGAATTATCACGCCTGAACAAGCAAACGTGTTTACGCCTGAGTGATGACAGCTGTTTGTTGGGAACCTCGAATGACTGTCCCTCCAGTAAGAATGTCCCAGTCACAGTCCGTTGTAAGTGGGACACTTATGGATCACACACACACACACACCATTCCCAGTTTAAATAACCCTTCGTCCCTCAGTCATTTGTTCACTAATCTGTCTTTTCATGATTTCATTAGGCATGCCAATTACGGAACTGAGCACATTCATTTCATGGTTCAAGGAAACTCTACAACTCTACATCCAAGGCAATGCTAACGTCTGACCTGATGATGGTGTGTGTAGTTCGCATTTGAATTATCACGCCTGAACAAGCAAACGTGTTTACGCCTGAGTGATGACAGCTGTTTGTTGGGAACCTCGAATGACTGTCCCTCCAGTAAGAATGTCCCAGTCACAGTCTGTTGTAAGTGGGACACTTATGGATCACACACACACACACACCATTCCCAGTTTAAATAACCCTGCGTCCCTCAGTCATTTGTTCACTAATCTGCCTTTTCATGATTTCGTTAGGCATGCCAATTACGGAACTGAGCACATTCATTTCATGGTTCAAGGAAACTCTACAACTCTACATCCAAGGCAATGCTAACGTCTGACCTGATGATGGTGTATTGGAAATTCCACTGAACCTTTATGATAAGAAATTTTTTGCGCTCCTTCAAAGAGAGATTTAAAACCCTGATTGATTGTTTTTGGGCACTACGTTTTGGTGGCAGTCCATTCACCACAAGGTCGAAAGGAGAAACTTGAATATCAAGCCCACTTTGGAAAACAAAACAAATGAGGATTTTTCGTTCTTTGATATTTTGATGTAACAAAGTAAGGGGAACCTTACAAAGGTCAGTGGTTTCAAGTATATTTAGACAGAACACTCAGAAGTTAGCAGGCAGCTACGAAGTGGGAGTATATGGCCTAAATATTGCTCAACCAGGCCTGAGGAATTTGCACTGATGAGTAATTTCTGCCGAAAAGGAGTATACTGAAATACCACCATTTTCATACCAAGCGAAAAATAAGGCGTCCTTTTTTCAACACATTCCGTTGAAGTCGATGACATGAATGAGGAATTCCGTTTGGATTCGGCTGAGTCATCCATTAAAACCAACCTGATGAGCAAACCAGTGTATTTCGCAAATTTCTGGCAATGTGGATTCAATTTTGACGGAAACTGCGGACTTACTGTGTAGCCAGCCTACTATTATTCCCGCACCAGCAATCAAAGAGGCCTTACTACCAACGGCCAAATCAAATGAACTGGAAAAAATCCTAAACATCAAATAGCTAACTTCAATGTTTGTTTGTTCATGTGAGGCTCGGCCGGACGACCAGAAACTATTTTCAACACATACCTGAAACTACGCGTCCCGGCTTCCAAGAGAAAGTCCGTGCTAACACGACTTGTGGACGGAGGAATCCATGCAAATCTCTCTACAGCAGTTGCTTTTACCTGCGGTCTGGAGTAACAAAGATAACAAGGAATGTAATGCTAAAGACCGAAAAGGAGCTGTGACCCGCTGATTTCACAGGCCTCCTTTCAGAGTTCAAAAACTTCCAAACTTTGTTCATTGCTGCTCCGACCCTACGGGAATAACCCAACCACCACCCAGCACGAGGCATTATAGAGACTAACCGATCAAACCTAGTGAGCCCAGACATTTGACCCTGCCCAACTCAGTCCTACAAATCCCGTCTGGTCACATTGCTGTCACTCTTGATTGGATCCATTCGATTGAACAAAAGTCTGTCTACTGATTCTCTCAGATTGGCTAATGCGTATACAACAGCTGAACGGTGAGGTACCGAAACGAATTCCTTCGTTCAAAAGCATTTCCTCAGCCCAATTAAGTTTAACATTAAATATCTACTCTTGTGTGGGAGCTCAACTACTTATCTTGGCAGAACAGAATGACGACTCCAAATTGGAGTGGTTGAGTCACCCAGTAGGTACGCCAACGGTGTCCAAGGGTGGTAAATAGGGGTGGCACCACCAATGGCTAAGATCAGCCGAAGGTGCAACCCAAGAAATACATGATATATTCAATCGGTGGTGCATTCAAACAAATCGGTTTCAAAGATGACTTTGCAAATAGGCCTCCAATATCCAAAATATCCCGTTGTATTGGTTTTCAGAAGGCTTGTATGTAACAAACGGTATGTTTGGCTTGTATTCACGAACGTAATCAGTGGTAATAACGTTGCAAACCTGGCAGCCCTTGGCCACCGTTAGCCACCGGTGGCATTGTGTTTACTGGGCAGTGGTGCCAATGGAGAGTTGGAAAACGGCTGAACCAATCAAGTGTGCAGACAAAACACCAAGGGTAAACATGATCGCACAGTCCAACAGTGCTGCTGTCAACAGTCTCTCCTCATATGATTAAGAGTGAGTATGTTACGAATCCAACAACTGCAATAGCACCGCGCTACTACAGGGATAAACTGCATGCCTCTGAACAGTCATTTCTCCCAACGCTTGTTTAGTCGTTTGTATCCTTATTTGTTTGTTACGGGCCTGTTTTGATTCATGAAAAACTTTGTTGCTCTTTTCTGTCTTTAATTTGTTTCATAAGTTGTCTCATAGGCTGACAAAAAGCCATCCCGCAGACGGATGTATTTACCTGCGGTAACATGATAAGAAGTTCCATGGCTATAACGCCCTTTACGTCCGCCAGTGGAACAACATCATGTGATACAGTGTCAGTTCATAAACATTATCCATTTGAGGAATTAACTCGCCATAGTTCTGCAGTGGGGTAAACTGCACTTGTGATAGATTTACAGGTTCCAAATCAAACGTACCTCACAGTTACTTGGATTCACTGAAAAGCTGGAAATGCAGAAGGAGTAATTTCGTAGGAAGAATGAAATTCCCGTGTGACACGTCATCACTCAGATCTGGTCAAAACGCGATCACATGATCTGCATTCCGTGGTTGAAGGACGAGTGACACTAAATCTTGTCTAGGAAAAAGTCGTTCACACTGGTGACCAAACACAAGTGATCAAATGGTTGAGCGTTCGGTCACTGGCTGAAAGGGCGTGGCCTTAACACGCTCCACTGGGGTCTCATGAGATGCGCACCACTGGAAATTCACAGTAAGAATGGAACCACCGTCCGATGCTTCTCGAGTTTAAAAGAGTTGGCATGACATGCAGAAATAAACCTTTACTGCCCAGCACTTGTCCGTGCCGCTGGCTATTCGAACAATGAGATTGATTGCGCACCACAATTCACAGTAAGAATGGAACCACCGTCCGATGCTTCTCGAGTTTAAAAGAGTTGGCATGACATGCAGAAATAAACCTTTCTTTACCAGCACTTGTCCGTGCCGCTGGCTATTCGAACAGTGGGATTCATTTCTCGAAATCTACGGCATTTTCAGACTTGCCACTTCACAGTGTAGGATGTCTATGTATAATGTATATGCTCCTGTATTATCAAAAATCCTTTACCATGGCGATTTGTTTAAGTCAGCGAAATCTCAAGGTCAGTGAACACCGCCGACTGTGAAAAAGTTGACTCACATACAGTGAACGTAACTTCCAGGTATTTTTTCACAGGAACAAATTTCCTCAACATTCTGTAATCTAAATGGCCTATGGAGATGCAACATATGCGTAGGCGCATTCGTGCAAACAAATTTTGGTCGATGATACTTTGTTGCCAGTAAAAATTCCGTAGTGCACGCTAATTGTTTGCTAAACGTCGTGCACGTTTGCTGACAAAAACCAGAGTTTTTCATCATAGGTTGCGGATTATTCTGTAAAGACCTCGAGGTTTATCGATCTGAGGCGACGCACACCACTAACATGCGGCTAGGGGTACACGATGCCTAACTAACTAGCGCACCCATCCATCTGTAACGGAGAAAAGGCTCAAAATGGACGTCATTGAATGTTGAGATATATTGATCGTTTTGAAGCTTACATATGTCCTTCCGGGAGGCGCATTTTCTTCTTCGTGAGGAGTGTTCGTTTGGCCATTGAAGTCCTGAAATGAGAGGAAGATATTATTCAGGTTACCGAAATATCACCATAAGGTGGGCGGCCGACAACCAGGTAGAGATGCTCACCCCAAAATTCACTGCAGCGACTATGCTGTCGTAGATTCCTGTTCACACAATGCCATCTTCAGCGGTTATTTCGCATGCCTGTTTACTGCACCTCTCAAGAAATACGAGACTTA